CTCTGTACCCACAAATGCACCAACTACAAACCTCTGTACCCACAAATACACCAACTACAAACCTCTGTACCCACAAACACACCAACTACGGGAAACACAGAAATCCATCTAAAGTCATTTACAGCCACTGATATATCACCAGTGATTACTAACTAAGAAGGACATTACTTCAGAATGTGCTATAAAACGAGAAATAAACGAGATACAGGAAGAGTTGAAAAAAGATGAAAATAGGAGAAGCAGAGTGGAGAAGAGTGCAAAAGGGAGGAATTCAAAGGAAAAATATTTCCTGGTTTTAAAGAACTTCAAAATCAAATGGAATAAAAATGATAAATAGGATAAAAATTTTTAAAGAAAATATAGGTGTGTTAAGAGGAGCATATTCTGGCTGGAGAGATGGTGAAGCAGGTGTTAAGAGCAGGTGCTGCTCTTGCAGAGGAGCCAGGTTCAGTTCCCAGCACCCACGTGGGTGGCTCACAACCATCTATTCTCTCCAACTCTAGAAATCCAATGCCTGTGGCCTCTGTGAGCACCTGCACTCAAGTGCACAGCCCCACATAGACAAACATAGACACATAATTGAAAAGAATAAAAGAAATCTGTTTTTAAAAAGGAAAAAGCCAAAAACGAAAAGCAAATTTGAGTTACTATAAGATGGGGGAAGCCGGGCGGTGGTGGCGCACGCCTTTAATCCCAGCACTCTGGAGGCAGAGGCAGGCAGATTTCTGAGTTCGAGAGATCGAGGCTAGCCTGGTCTACAGAGTGACCCTGTCTCGAAAAACCAAATAAAATAAAATAAAATAAAATAAAATAAAAAAAAATAAAATAAAATAAAATGGGGGGGGGGAAGAGCCAGAAAAGAAACAAAGAAAAAAATGTCACCCCAAGGTAGGGATTTAAAAAAAAAAAAAAAACACATAAAGTGAGATGAATGTATGAAGAAAAATAAATATAAGTATTAAAAAGTTTCAAAAGATATAATACAACGAAGATACTGCTAAATATACAGGCTAAATATACAGGAAAAGAGAAAGAGGGAACCACACAGTGGGTGGAAACGGTGTTAGAATGGCTCTGTCTGGGTCTTCAGAATCAAATTGCTAGTTACAAGCCTTGGGGGAGAAGAGCTGGTTGCTCTGTGGTCCGGATCTCCTCTGAGCTGTACTGTGGTGAGTCTGTACTGGACTATAGCCTGCACGCTGCACTCCGCAGCCATGTTTTCCTTCTGAGGGTGTCAGGGGCCTCTGCTGGCCACTCTGTTTGTCTGTAAGCTGGACAGATTCTCTCTCTTTCCTGAGACGCTCAGATCATGGATGTGCCTGTTCTTGCAAAAGGGTGTCTCCTGGGTGCACTGGGGGTGGGGGGAGGGAGGGAGGCGGAAGCAGCCACAGCACTGAGATGGAGGCAGAGGACCTCACTAGTCACTGCTGAGGGCTCCCGAGGAATAATCACCCGCTGGAGGGTGCAGCTGCTAGTTTTACACAACCTCTAGAACTTTGGGGTTCTTGGCCTCAAAAGCATTGAGTCCGAATCTCATGGACAAAACAGGATCTCTCTCACTGCTGCTGCCTCATGAGCTGGTGAAATCCCTGAGTTAAGCCTGAGGGCTTTGAGCTTCTCGGTGGGAGGCGGGGCGGGGAGCTGCCTGATCTCCATCTAGCTTACTTTTTGGAAGTGGTTTCTGAGTCCCAGCCATGGGTCTAACTGTGCAGATGCGGCTCTGCTGGGCTTGCTTCGGTGCAGCGAGGCATCTGTGCTCAGCCCTTTTCTTTTCCTCACTTTATGGATTCTCAACGCTTTCCCCACATTTCTGTCTGGGATGAAGTCTAATAGTTTGTATTAGGCCTCATCCCTACAACAAAGAACTATAGGGAACTAAGAAATGCTAAGAGCAGAAGAAATGGTCCTCCCCAGGGAAGAGCACAGCAATTGGTGATCCAATATCAAATGGTCAGCTCTGAAAACGTAGACAAGTAACAGTATACAGACACAGCATTTGTAGTTATGTGTTTAGAAGTGCATGTGTGAGCACACACAGACACAGACACACTCGCATATATAACAACAATTAAAAAACAAAGAGGCCATGAATTTGAAAGCAGGCAGGTGAGAGGGTTTGGAGGGAGGGAAAAGAAAGGGGAATAATGTAATTACATTATAATCTCAAAAAAAGTTTTTAAAATTACATCTAAAGTAGAATTATAACTGTTTCTAAAAAGCATGCAATTAGTTGAAAATAAGGCTGCAATTTCTTAGTTATTAGATTTCTTTCCCTGATTGCCTCTCAGGTAAAAAGAATTATTAAAAATCATGTGGTCAGTAGAACTGAGGTAGATATGAGCTGTGTAAATGTTATGCCAAAGCACTGCACATTTTGGGAATGAGAAAATAAGAAAGAGTCTCTGCATGAGCCTCCTACAAGATAGCCTCAGGAACAAGGACCACACAAGGCAGGGAAGCAGCCGCTTGTTAAAACCAGAGTGTTCTGCATGGGTCTGACCTAGGTCCTCAGCGTACATGCTATAGTTCTGTAGCTTGGTGTTTTTGTGGGACTCCTAAGGGAGGGAGCAGGGGCTGTCTCTGATGCTTTTGCCTGCTCTGGGGACCCTCGTCCTACTGGGTTGCTTTGTCTAGCATCCAGTATGAGGGGAGATGACTAGTCTTATTGTAACTTGATATGTCCGATTTGGCTGATATCCCCGGGAGGAAGCAGAGAGGAGTGGGGGGGGGGGTGGAGGTACTGGGAGGAAAGATGAGGAGGGAGAGGCAAAACTGCAGTCAGCATATAATATATGGGAGAATAAATTAATTTTAAAAAATGATGCTGTTCACAGAACTCAGAAGCTGGGGGCTCTAGCAACTGTGTCCCAAAAAGGATTGACTGTATGCACAGGCTTAGAATACATATGTTCAGCCTCAATGCCAACTGAGCATGTTTTCAGAACAAAACCCTGAGAGAGCAGGCCTCTGTCAAAGGGATGACAAGATGCCGAGATGATGTGGGGCTCAGGGACTTAGCTCAGCGCTACAGTGTTTGCCTCACAAGCACAAAGCCCTCGCTTCTGACAGACAAACGTTGTTTCCTCAGCCGCCTGTGTGGTCCGAGACGCCACTGGAAGCATGAACGACACCATCGTTTCTGGGATGAATTGCAATGGCTCTGCAGCCTGTGGGCTGGGCTACGACTTCTCAAGATGCCAACACGAGCGATGTCAGTATGGGCTGATGAACAACTTCCAGGTATGAACTTCAGAAAGACAGACGACAGACAGACAGACAGAGTTTATCAATGTTGTCTGCATTTCCAGAATATCAAGTCTAGTGAGGCTCTTGGATCTGCACTTGGTTAAATACTGATTGATTTGAATTAAGCAAGGAGCAGGTGGTGTGGGAGGAAGGAAGCCATGCAGGTGTTCTGTGGTGGCCGTCTGTCTGTCCTTTGCAGACACTGTTGTAGAGAAACAAGTGTGTGCGTTAAGTCACTCGGAGGGGAGCGCCATGTTGTTTCCTAGCTTCCAGTCAACTGTGTGCATACTGGACAGGAGGGGCACAGGCTAGCGAGAACTTGGAGTGCATTTTGTGTACAGGCTTTAGAGCAGAAAATTCTAAGGCAAGAGTCAGGATGAGCAGCAATTGTGAGTGAGAAATTTAGAGGGAATTGAAGGCTGAGCAACATGGAAGGGACAGCACGCACTAATTGTCCTATGTGTTTAGTAAGGAGAGGAAGAAGTAAATGAGCCGAGAAGTCTTCATCCATCTCATTTAACAACTGACAGAGGCATGGACTTAGCTGAAACCATTATTCCAAAATATGACTTGAGCTGACAGGCTCCTCCCAAACATGTAAAATCTGTTCCCAGGGTTATATTGATGCTGGTATCATTTTCATTGTTATTCTGAGGCAAATCTCAAGTGTTTCAATTATGTCAAAAAAAAAAATAAAGCTATGTTTAAAGAGCAAAAGAAAAAGCAAAGATTTGGAAACACTTCGGTAGAAGAAAAGCCAATTCCTCAAAAACATCGGAAGGCAGCCAAGCCCCTCCTCGAACCGAGTCAATACCACACTCTTCGGGGTAGAACTTTCTCCCACCAGAGCTACAGAGAGAACACAGGGGGAGAGGCTATGAAAATCCTTGGGAAGAAAAAAAACTTCCTTCTTTAGCCTTTCCAGTGTTTTCTAGTGATGGGTAGCTAGTGTTAGCTAGTAAATAATGAAAAGAGAAGTGTTACAAATTCAAGAGTGAAGCAGAGTGGAAAACATTAGTTTGTAAGAGTGGGAATCACAGGAAGAGGAGAAGGAAGAAAACGTGTTGAAGAATAGTGAACTGTTCAAACCGTCTGTTGGGTAAGCTGCTTAATCCAAACCACTGTCTTCGCAAGGTCATGAGCATGGTGTCCGGGTTCGCCCCCCTCATCACCGCAGGGATCTTTTCAGCAACACTGTCTTCAGCCCTGGCCTCCCTCGTCAGTGCGCCCAAAGTATTCCAGGTAATACAGCCGTGAAAGCATGCACTGTCTTCCCTGCCTCCGAAACAAGCTAAAATAGCGGTTCCCGCCAGCAATCACTTTCCATCATTTTCTGTACCCGTTAATGCTCGCATCTAGCTCAAGTGCTGTGCCTGCCACATCGTCAAGATCGATTCCGATAATATAAAGAATGATGAGCCGCAGAGTTAACCTGCGCCTCGTATTGTGCATCGCTTAATCTTCCCCAAATCTTCTTTTCGGAATCACCTAGAGAAAACGAGTGCGCATAGATACAAATGACAAATGTCTTCTCTTTTTTCCCTTTAGGCTCTGTGCAAGGACAACATCTTCAAAGGACTGCAGTTCTTCGCAAAGGGCTATGGGAAAAACAACGAGCCCCTGAGAGGGTACTTCCTCACTTTTGTGATAGCCATGGCGTTCATTCTCATCGGTGTGTAGTTTTCTTGTACAACAGAAAGCCAAAGATTCTTCTGATTACTCGGGCTTTTGCTGTTAGTTTGAGAAATTAGTAGGTTTATGTTTAAGACTCCGTCTGGGATTGCTGGTGTTTGTCTAAGAGAGAAGTGAGACGGTTTAGTGAAGGGGGCCTTTGAGGAAGTGAGGAAGGATCCACGCTTCTGTCTGTTCTTTGAACATGAATAGTAGAAGCCCATCCAGCAAAATACAACTGAACCATTCCTCCAAGTCAATAGACTCAAACCACAGTAGATCCTGCTCTATGCACTAGCCTGATAGCTCTAAACGGCAAGCAGACTTGAGTATACCAGCGTTTCCTCAAATGTAGCTCCCTGAGCAGCCCCTCAGAATCACTGGAGTGTCTCTGAAAGTCCAGATTTTGCAGACCCAATTCCAGGGCTGCTGAGTTAGAATCTCTGAGGATTTGGATTCTGCATTTTACAAGTTCCTCAAGTTCCCCCCTAGACTGAGTCTTTTGAAAATCACCTACTTGGACTGGGCTTTGGTTTCCTTCCCCAAGCAATCTAGAAGTAGCCACATGGTCTTGAAAAGCCGTATTTGTCAGCTATACAATCCTTGCTCTCCCTGAAGACCAAAACTAAGGGTCCTTCTTTGTACGTGAACCTCTAGGAGCAACTGCAACTTACTTGGCTTGTACAATGTCTATGCAGTTGGAAAGAGACTACATAAAACTCCAATTAAATCTGTTAGAGTTTTAAGAAATTAAATAAAAAGAGTTTATATAGAGATTCCCGTAATATAAAAATTAAGACCTCAAACTGTTGCCCTTTGCTGCGTTTAAGTGTTTTATTACATTCCTGTGTGATTGCCTGCATGTTTGTGTGCATGTGGTTGGCTGAGCAAACCGTTACCTACTGAGCCATCTTACCAGCCCCCTTCTTCTGCATTTAAATGACCACACAATCCACTTTTTTAAAAAAAGTATACATTAAATTATCTCCATTAAAAACATTGAGAAGCTCATAGATTTCCATCCTACAGAGCCTCTTGACTGTTTACATAGCAGACAACAACAAATACAGGACTTTACACATGTGAAATTGCTATAGAGGAGCTTTTGAGGCACTTAGCCCTTGTATAGACAGAGGTTTGGACTGTCTATTTTCTAACTGGCAGGCTTTCTTGAGTCTCACTCCATGGAAACCTTGGCTGTAAGTATGTAGATAGCCTCAAAGGAAAAAAAAACCCACTAACTTCTTCAACTTTGACAGATACGAGCTATGTTTCCAATTCCCAGAAAAAGTGGAGCTTCCTGGCCTTAGCAGCTGCTGGGCCTCTCTCTCACTGCTCAGATGTACACAAGCGTGTTCTGCTTCTCTTGCAGCGGAGCTGAATCTCATTGCCCCCATCATCTCCAACTTCTTCCTGGCCTCATACGCTCTTATTAATTTCTCCTGCTTTCATGCCTCGTATGCCAAATCTCCAGGTAAGCCGATATGAAAACATAAGCCTAAGCAAACAGTGAGTTCGTCTCGATAAATGAAATAAGTCCGTGAAAAGTGTTCAATCTGTGTTTTTATGTTTTCTTATATCTTTGTAGGCAGTGCAATCCACTTTATTTTGGTGAGTTGGGGGATGACTTCCGAAACAGAAAGGGAATCATATGAGCAATGGCCTTTTTGACCAACCGTAAAGTCAATTTTCTCCTGTGGCAATAAATTATTCATTGCAAGAGAAACCACATTTATTTCAGCAGTAGAAAAACACCACTATTTATTTCCAGGGTAAAAGTGACCACAGGAGTGGAATAAATGTATATATTTGAGACCTCCTCACTATCAATTTGTTTCCTGCCCATGGTGCAGAAGAGAAGGATGAGCAGTTCCCATAATTACCTGCTGAATTCGGGCAATGCAGATCTACTGCCGTGCCCACGCCAGGAGCGTCAGTACACAACTGGGCTGTGGTCATAAATCGTTTAAAGTTCCACACCCAAGAGCCATCCGCTAGCTCATCGCCCTTCATCTCTCATTTGCTCCCACTGACCCCTCCAGAAAGTCACCTGAGGGTCATATGACTCTCAGAAAGTTCTTCACTGTAAAGACTTTCTCATCCAAGGCACTAAATAAATATTCTATTACAATTTGCCTCTATCCTCAGCCTGTTGACATTCCTGTTTGCAAAGAGGCTGAGGAGCCTGTGTCCACACAAGGGCACTGGGTTACAGAAAATAACCGAAGATGTTTAGTTTAGTTTGTCTTTAAACACAAATCTACCATCCCATGCCATGTTTTACTGTTTATAAAACAAAAAAACAAGCCAGCTACAACAATTATCAGAAGTGTGAAAAGGAGTAATGGGAGAGAAAAGGAGAAGAAAAGAATATAGTAACATAATGTATGCAGGAAGGCACATGTAGATACATAAACCCCAAAATGACTCTCAAAATCTACTCCTCCCTCTCTCCACCCACCTGACCTCCATCCTGTCTCTGAAACGGAAGCAGAACTAGGAACATCTGGGGCTTCTCTAATGGCGTTCCTGGAGTGCTGTTTCCACCTTGTGGTCATTGAGGGAACTGCACCTCTAGACAGCCTCCCACTGAGTTCCAAAGACTCCAGATTTAAAGTTGCGTCAACCCACTGACAAAATCAGGTTTTCCCATCCTGACTGAGTTGTTTCCTAGGCTCTTTCAGTTCAGAAAACTAATAAAACATAGAAATCTGTGTGTATAGAAACTGTGGCAGACACTTTAAAATATAATGCTGTACATATTAATGTGTTATGCAAAATTTCTCCTCGTTCGTAACATTATGCTTCTGACAGAGCAGACATTGTCTTCTTAGGATAATATTAAGGCAGGCTGCCTCTATTGCTCTGCACACGGAGCGTAAGCTCACTGTTATAACCAGTTCTTGGGAAGACAGGACGTTCTTCTGCCCCACCTGTTGCCAGGATACCACTTTCCCCAGTGTACCCTCTTCCTTTAGATTCCTGATGGTGTTGATTTTAGATACTTAGGGTTTGGTAGTTTGGGGGGACAATCGGGACTCACAGGAAGCACAGAGGTGTCTGTGACCATCTGCTTTTCAGATGATTTATATTCCCTAAAGTTTACAGCATCATCTTTGTTACAAATACTGCTTTTGTAGACCAAGGATCCAAGATCATAGAAAAACGTTAAGACCTAGGACATGGACCTAAAAACTACAATTTTTTTACCAGAGGAAGACATGTTATCTGCACTTTTATAATACAGAGTAGTGCAGTAGCATTGATGTGTGCATTTTTTTTCTATATTATTTTTCCTTCCAGGATGGAGGCCGGCATACGGGATTTACAACATGTGGGTATCTCTTTTTGGAGCGATTTTGTGTTGTGCAGTCATGTTTGTCATCAACTGGAAGGCAGCCATCATCACCTATGTCATTGAATTATTCCTCTATATCTATGTGACTTATAAGAAGCCAGGTAAGAGAAAAAAGGCCACCTCGGATGGGCTTCCATGGCTCCCTCTATCCATCCATTGGATGTCTATCATGCAGCTTCCACGTGCTCACATGTAGTGTGTGCAAGACAGTTCATCACAATGCCATGTGACTTAAGGACAATGATAGTTAGCACCGTGGGGCACTACACACACAATGTGCTCATTTAATCCTCAGAGCAACGCTGAGCATCCAGTGATGGGAAGCTTGTTTTAGAGATGAAGAGTCCCGAGTTCACAGTGTTGGTCATTTGCCAAAATAAGAGTCAGGCTGTGATAGAGCTGAACCCGGACCTCACACATGTTCACTTCTTTCACCTTCTAATGTCCTAATGAAATAAGACTCTATCCTCCAGGAGAGCTCAGACTCAGAGAGGAAGTTGACTGTAGCACAGCATAACGTGTCACCGAAGCAGTATAAACACACTCCTGAGAAAAGGGCGAGGTGTGAGCAGGCTTGGAGTTGTTCAAAATTCTCTCTTGGGTCACAGCTCCATGTTCACAGAGCCAACTACTCTGCATGAGTTTAGTGAATACTTGTTGAATGAACAAAGCAAGTTCTAAAGCAACATCAAGCCACATGCAGGTGGTTAATGGCAGGGCCAGAGAATGAGGTTCCAGGGAGAATGGGAGTGAATTGAAGATGCATGCATGGCCTTAATATACATAGTTCTTGAAGACCAAGGCGAAGGGCCATGAGGTGTCCTGGAAGGATATCCATGCAACCAAAAAGTAAAAAAGAATCTGGATACTGTGAACACTGAGGCCTGAACTTCATCTTAGAACCCAGGAAGAAGGAAACTACAGTTAGAAATATCTAGGGATCAGAATTCAGCATCCAGAAGCCCAGGTCCAGCACTGTGTCCATGATGTTATTCTACCAGCCAGGCAGAGATGGTAACAACTTTAGGGGAGCTCTGTAGTTGTTTTTCATGATTGCTTTATATACTGTTAACAACAGGTGCACTTTACAGCTGGGAAAACTCCACCCCTTTTGATGTACAGCCGTAAGTCTTGATAAACTTATCCAGTCCTGTGACCATCACAGCCAAGGTACAGGATTTCTCCAATGGTTCCCTTAGACACCTGTGTGCTCAGGCCCTTCCTCCAGAACTTAGCCCTAGCAGCTACTTTCCTAATTTGTGAACCTTTGACTTTATCTTTTTCCAGAATATCATATAAATAGAATCATGGCATATAGTCTTTATGGATGTCTTTGAGTTAGCATGAACTTTTAGCCTTGTCCATACTGTAGCATGTATAAGCAATTTGTCCTTTGATATGGATGAATGGCGTACTATATATGAACATACCACAATACATCTCTGTTGTTGACTGACAAATGTAGGCATATGATTATACATACATACATATATACATACACATACACATGTACATATATATAACTTAAGTGGATCTGTGTTTCATTTTTGTTGAGTAAATGCCTGGGAGTAAGACTGCTTATATATGGTGTATGCGACTTTACTTCCAGATTGTCGGCCACAGTGGCAGCATTATTTTCTACTCCAAACAGCAGTTTACCAAAGCGCCCTCGTCACTCCACACCCTTGGCAGCGTGTAGTATTGTCGGTTGCTCTGTAAAAGTCCTTTCAATAGAGGCATAGTCTTAGCCACTGTTGTCTGTAGGCTTAGATTTTTCAAAACCTACTTTAATGAGGGTTCTTAACTACTTCAACCTCCCTTCCAGTCCATCTACGAGAAGTAGAGGAAAAAAGACATGTTAATAGGAAAGGGGATGTGGACCTGTTTAGAAGTAGTTCTTTGGGGCAATTCCAGTCTTCATTGTCAGGGCATCAGCAATCCAGTCCAGTTTGAAACACCAAACATGAGTCAGTAGCAGATGCTTGATCCAGAAGAAACCACAAGGCTCCATCAAATTGGCATGAGTCTATGCAAGCAGGAAGAACCAGCCAAAATACCATGAGAAGTTCTTTGGCTAGTTACTGTCCTTGAAGTCAGGACAAACAAAGATCATTGAAGACCAGCAAAGCATTTCAAGGTGTACCAATGCAAGAACGTCATCAGCAAAGACCAGCGAAGCATTTGCAAAGCAAACCAGTGCAAGAGCATCTGCTCACTGTCTGTGGAGTTATATTTCTATTTTTTCTAAACATCACAGCCCTCTCAAGCATCCCCTCCAGCAGATCATATATGCCCTTTCATGAGACAGCTTCCAGAAAAACACCATGTGTCTGTTCTCAGCAAAACATCCTCTCATAAGACAGTTTCCAGGAAAAAAAAAATCACATGACATAACTGAATCTCCAAAGAAACCAGAAATTTCCACTTCAGTTGCCCAACTTGCATGTTCCCAGTGACTAATGACACTGAGAATTTTACTTGCCATTCACATATCTTGTTAAGCAACTACATAAAACTATGCCTATTTTGCTGATGTATTCTAACTCAGTTGTGAGGCTTCCTGGTATATTTATTCTGGCTTCTCTTGCAGTGTGTACTTTCTATCTTCCCCAGGCTTGTGGCTTCTGTTTTCATTTCCCTAGTGGTTTTTTATTAATACAGGTTCTTAACTTTTATCAAAACTAATTGATTTTTCCTTTTTTCTTTATCTTTTTTCATTTGTATTTTTGTGTGTGTCTGTGATCTGAGGCATTTTTCCTCAACTAAAGACCACACACATTTAGAACTTTTGGTGCTTTGGCAATTGATTAAGGTCTATTATCTACTGTATGGACCAGTGAGTGACGTTTGTTCTTTTACGTATGAATGTTGAGTTGACTAATAGTGATTTTAGCCCCAAAACAATGAATGTCAGGCCAGCAATTTAGTTCAGTAGGTGAAATGTTTGCCACCTAAGCTTGATGACTTGAGTTCAATCATTTGAGCCTATTTTAGAAGGAGAAATCCCACTCCTAAATCTTGGTCTCTCTCCCTTCCCCCATGCATGTGTTGTGACATGTGTGTGCTGTGGCATGTGTGTGCTGTGGCATGTGTGTGCTGTGACATGGGTGTGCTGTGGCATGTGTGTGCTGTGGCATGTGTGTGCTGTGATGTGTGTGTGCTATGACATGTATGTGCTGTGACATATGTGTGCTGTGGCATGCATTGCTGTGACATGTGTGTGCTGTGGCATGCATGTGCTGTGACATGTGTGTACCCACTCATACTCATGCACAATAATAATAAATAAAAGAATGGATGTCCTAAAGTATGCTTGTCTGGTACATAATCAACACTTCATATCACTCTGTTCAGTCATCAGATAAAACACTCACTGTCCTCACCCTGCAGAGCAAGCCCAGAAAGACTCATCAGAGGCAGGTCTGTCAGCTCATCTCTGGCAATTCTTATCATAAAACTTAAAGAGCCCATTTAATTTTTTAATCTTACTGTTTTTAAGGCAGGCTAGAGCATTGAGCTCCCTCTTTTGAAGGTTGGTTTCTGGAAGGTCAGACTGAGACACTTCCTAAAGAGCCTAAACTCTCCTCATTACCCCCACAAGTACGAATTCCCAAGTTGGTCAGCTCTGCCACTCAAAATATAAATATATTTCTGTGTGCACACTACTCCTGCATACAGAAATTCCTTTTGTTTCCAATTTAAGAATTTGTGAAGGCCTTGAACTTTTTTTCCTACCTGGCCATCATCACGTGGACTTTCTTACTAAGGAAGGTTTCTGGGGCTTCAGATCTACATTGTGATCCAGGCTGGAAGGAAGTCTCATGCCTAAAGACTCACATGGGTGCTCACGGGAGTGTAGGATTCACATGGGTGCTCACGGGAGGGTACAGCACTCTTCCCAGGAAACACTATGCTGTATTTGATCTAACTTGGATTCTCAACACTGATTGCATAGGCAAGAAAGGTTGCAGGAGAGAATGGCTTATTAAAAATTAGTCAATGCATGCAGAAACAAAGGTCAATTTGGGGGAGTACCGTTTCCTCCTTTGTCCACAGATGTGAACTGGGGCTCCTCCACACAGGCTCTGTCCTACGTGAGCGCCTTAGACAATGCTCTGGAATTAACCACAGTGGAAGACCATGTGAAAAACTTCAGGTAAAGTCAGCTTTTGGGGTCCCATGGTGTTTTACATTACGAGTGGCTTTCCTTAGAGGAATCAAATGCATCGGGAGTATCTGCAAATTCTGTGTGCACATTTCAAACATGCAAAGTCACATTTCACAACAGCAGAAGGCCTGCTTTCTTGGTGATAATCTATGCTGTTACCATGAAGAGAAACGAGTGTGTTTTTCCTCCTGTTCTGAGCTCTGCCCTCTGGGTGTCACAGTTCCTCACACTGCTGTGTCCTTTTCCAGGCCTAGAGACAGAAAGGCCAGAAGGATGTGACTTCAGAGGGGTGTGTCCCAGGTCCCTGTTCATCTTAATCATTGGCTGTATCTCCTCCAGTCAATTGAGGCTTCATGATGTAATGAATTCCCTGCAGAGAAGTAGTAATCTCAGATCTTTATTAATTATAATTATTTTGGATGGTGCCTCACAACAGGGGCTAGCAAGGAAGATAAATGAAAATATCAACGGGAGAGGGAGATCTGGGGTGACATATTGCCCACAAAGTAAGACAAGGGAATCCAGGATACAGGAATCCAGGATACAGGAGTCCCCTTTCCCTACTTCCTACTTTTGCTGTGATTAATTAAATGAAAAATACTAAGATGATAAGATGTAGAGTCAAGATAACTCAAGAATTCTGGTAGAAAATTCAAGAAATAATTAAGGAAGGGGTGTCCCATTTCTCCAAGTTTTCTATGCTTCTTATTTCCTTCGATGGGTTCTGGGCTCATGCTTCCTCCACTGGCCAATTCTCATGTCTTCTTTGCTTTCAGACCCCAGTGCATTGTCTTAACAGGCGGACCCATGACAAGACCCGCTCTCTTGGATATAACCCACGCCTTCACGAAGAATAGTGGCCTCTGCATCTGCTGTGAAGTCTTCGTGGTAAGAGTCACTTCATCCAAAGGAAGTGCTTTTCCCTCTCTGCTCACAGTGGGTTGTTTTAGGTGGCACAGACAATACCTACAGCAATAGGAAAGAGAAGAGACAGCTTGGACAAGTGTTCACCTCCTTGATTCAGGTCGGGAACAAACAAACAAACAAAAGCAAAACACAAAAAACGTGATCATGAATGTAAATAGATAGATGAAATATATTTCTGGTTTCTTAGGAGACCAACTAAAAGTGATAAATATTCTTAAATGATGATCTTTGAGTCAAGAAGAATTGATCTGGTTCCTCAATAAAAGGAAGGCATCTGGGCTGATAGTTGTTATAGTGGAAAGAACCAGACCAGAGCACTAACCAGTCTGTGGAAGACAATCAGAAGGAAGCAGATATGATGGCCTTAAATGACCACATGGAATTCAGATGAAATGTCCGGATAATTGAGATGGTACTACAGATACCTGGGGAATTCAGCTAAGGTTTCCCTGGGGAATTAAACTAAGTTTTCTGTGCCTTTGAGAAACAGCAGAATTGAGCTAATTCCCCTTTGTTCAAGGAACATGTTGGGAACTAATGACTGACTCATTGGAGGAATTCAAAATAGATGCTAAAGAGCCAATCATAATTATTTACCAAAAATATGTCTAACCCCTCCATACTAGCCTTCCTCTGCATGTCTCCTCATTTTCTTTCTCTCTCTTCTCTCTCTGCCCTTATGCTGTGTGTCGTTCTTATTTTAAATCTTTACCAACACACGTTTATATTACTAATTACTTATCTGTTCTTCAAAGCATTGTCCCAGTTTCTTACTTGATCCACAAGCATGTAAGAGGCAAAAACAAAACAAAAAACAAAAAGCAAAACAAAACAAAACAAAAAATGCTTGTTTCTATTTTACTTACTGGGAAAATGAGACAGAAAAATGAAATCATGGACTGGGCCATCTTGACAAGAAAATGCCTATTGGAATGTCAGAGCCCTCTCAGGATGCCTCTAGGTAGGCCAGGAGGATGAAAGCCTAGACAGTCTGACACCCTGGAGAATTGCCACAAAGATCACTAGCTACTCTTCTAGTATCTGCCAAGGAATGGTTGTGAGGAGTCTTGTCCAGAGGCCAGTCCACACTGCAGGGATGTGTGGACTATTTTACTATACACTACATAGAGAAATGCTCAAGCATCTTAAACTTAGCAACATCCTAATGCTGCGGAAGTTGGCCACATCTTTCCTATCTGGGCTTAGATGACACTAACTCAAACGATATAACTAAATACAATTATCTAGTATGGGGTGGAGAGAGAGCTACTGGGAGGGGAAGATTGACAGGTTAAGTTATGGCCAACTGTGACTCCAGAGGATTTATTAAAAACTTATCAAGAGCCTTTCTCTCTTATTATCAAGTTTAGTGCCCTGGATTAGTGGATTTCATTTTGGCCAATATAATATAGGAGCCGGTTTTGATGCAATAAGCAGTTTGGGGTGTTTTTCTTCTCTAACAATTTAGAGAAAATTTGGTTTAGCAAGAAATAAAATATCTTCAGGACCAGAGAAATGAGCAAGAAATATAAACGGTCATATAATGGCAAGGGAGAAAAGTGCTTCCACAGAGATAAGAAACCCTGCTTTTAATTAACCCTTTGAGTCTTTAACTGCAAAAAGGACTATGGTCCTAGAAGACCCTTTCCTGGGAAGCAAGGGCCTAAGCATGTGATCAGGTAGCTTCACACACGTGTTGGACAACACTTCATTTGTTGTGCTGATGTCTCCATGAAAGGCCCCTGAGTCCTGCTCCCCAGTGCTCAAGTTCTCTTGGGAACAGAAAACAGTTATTGCATCAATTAAATCCTTCCCAGGTAGTTACTTCCTGTATACTCCTTAGGCTGTGGATATGTTTTTAGATTCAAGGCTCAGCTGTCAATCACCCTTCCAAGGAAACAGATGGAGAGGGATGCAGGGGGAGGCAGAATACCACTGGAAACTTTTCCCCAGCGTATGCAGATGATGGTTAAGCCAGCCTTGTGGAAATGTTAAGTAGTGACAATGGAAAAGGAACCAAGATTGTGTTTTCCACTCTAGGAAGCATTTTCCCCTGGGCCTTTGAAACTAGCAGTCAAGTTCGGAATCACTGTTTTGACATTTACTGGTGCCGATTCCCTCACACACATAGTTTAGTCTCTCTGAATAAGAGAGCACCTGTTTTAAGGTCATTGTGAGAATTATACTTGCTTTCAAGTACTGTTTTGTGTCTTTCAAATGCTGAATGATGGATTCACTTTCTTTGTTATTAATTGATAATGGTGTTGATGTTATTATCATGGGAATATGATAGTTGCTCATTTCATTCCTGAACTATGTGGTCTTCAATAAAACCCAGATACCCTCAAGTCCTGAGAGTAGATTGCTAGACCCCTAACTCATTCAGCCATCGAAGGTCCCCCTCTCTTCTTCCCTTCACTTGTTGTTTTCTTATTCAGCCGCAAAATTTCAGATGAGAACACTAAGTTCTTTGTGTCCTTTATCAAGATCTTAATAAAGCCTGGGTGTGGTGGCACATGCCTCGAATACCAGGCAGATCTCTCACAGGCAGATCTCTCTCACAGGCAGACCTCTCTCACAGGCAGATCTCTCACAGGCAGATCTCTCTCACAGGCAGACCTCTCTCACAGGCAGATCTCTCTCACAGGCAGACCACTCTCACAGGCAGACCTCTCTCACAGGCAGATCTCTCTCACAGGCAGAGCTCTCTCACAGGCAGATCTCTCTCACAGGCAGATCTCCTCACAGGCAGACCTCTCTCACAGGCAGACCTCTCTCACAGGCAGATCTCTCTCACAGGCAGACCTCTCTCACAGGCAGACCTCTCTCACAGGCAGACCTCTCTCACAGGCAGATCTCTCTCACAGGCAGATCTCTCTCACAGGCAGACCTCTCTCACAGGCAGATCTCTCTCACAGGCAGATCTCTCTCACAGGCAGATCTCTCTCACAGGCAGATCTCTCTCACAGGCAGACCTCTCTCACAGGCAGATCTCTCTCACAGGCAGACCTCTCTCACAGGCAGATCTCTCTCACAGGCAGATCTCTCTCACAGGCAGATCTCTCTCACAGGCAGATCTCTCTCACAGGCAGATCTCTATGAGTTTGAGGCCATCCTGGTCGACAGAGGGAGTTCCAGGACAGCCAAAACCTTTACACAGAGAAACCCTGTCTCAAAATAAATGATAATAAAATAATAACATGATCAAATATAAGAAGAATGAAATGATCTATGAATAAGCATTAGGATACATGGTGAGATGATTCTTGGGCCAAATCAGAAAAAGGGAGAAATTATCCTTCTGGTAGTTTCAACCACAGAAATAATGACAGCAAAGTCATGAGACTCTCAATATGTAGAAGCATAAGTTAATATATAAATGCGTAAATTTCTCAAAGTTTCATTGTTCAAATTGGGGAATTAATTCATGGGCTCATGTTTGGGAAGTTGATCTCTATAATATATTAATTGGAAGGTAGAATCCATTTTTGTGACATATTTGAATATTGGTAATTATGTTCCAGGATGTCTCCCCTCCTGTTAGTTTTTAACCTTCTTACATTTGCATTACAGTCTAGTTTCATATTAATAAGTATGCTACAAGGACATCATAATCCCTTTTAGCAAAAAAAGATTCTACATGAAATATTTTTATGAGTTCTCAGTATGGCAAATTCAGTCGTTAAAATAAATCTCTCTGGCACAATTAATGTTTAATCTAGATTTTTGTAATACTAACAGACATACACTAGACTGTATTTCTTTAAATAAGCACCACTTTCCCCAGGGGCTTACAGTCACTGCAGGAAGGCTCAGAACTCTGATGGTCTACCATCTTTCTAGCTGTTGGTTGTTCTTCTGTCTGGTGGTTCTTGTCAACAGTAAATGACCCTCAATGCAATATTCCTTCCTCTTCTTCTAGTGGGTGCCCAAGGAAGGACTAGTAACAAAAATGTGCTGACATTCTGGAGGCCTGAGGGAAACTTCTCCTCTAATAGCATGTCTTTCTCTGGTCCAGAACTTCTGGTTCAATAACCACCCTCCTGATGTCTTGACCTTTTCTGTCATCATTGAAAGTTCTTGCTTTTTTTACTAATACATGACAATCCAATTGTTTTTATAACATTGGTAACTTCTAAAACATATACTGGCCGGGCGGTGGTGGCACACGCCTTTAAACCCAGCACTTGGGAGGCAGAGACAGGTGGATTTCTGAGTTTGAGGCCAGCCTGGTCTACAGAGTGAGTTCCAGGACAGCCAGGACTACACAGAGAAACCCTGTCTCAAAAAACCAAAACAATAAAAATAAAACATATACTGGAAAACAACTAACTATACAAAGAACATTATCCAGTTTATATAGAATTCTAAAATGGAAGGGCCTCAGAGCCCAATTACTGGTGTATGATAGAAATATGTGCTATATGTATAATTTAAAATTTTCTGATTGCCAATTAAATTGACAAAAGATAGATCAAGTTATTTTTAATTTCTCTTGTTTAACTCAAATATGTCCAAAATGTTATTTCAATATGCAATTAACATAAATGTCAGTGATATTTATTTTACGTATATTTGTGTACCAAGGCTCTCTGAATATGAATTCCATTTCAAATGCTGAATAATGACATGTGGATATGAGCTGTTCTGGTTGGCAGTGATGACTCAGCAATTGCCTTATTTAATAAATATATTTGTCCTCAGGAGAGGATGCCCATTGTATCAAGGAGTCAGTCCAGAGCCACAGTTAAATCCAGCACTCTGTCTCCGAATTCAGTTTCATTCCAACTGCCCCAGAGCAAATATAATGTAGAATTAGCCTGGAGTTTCACTGAGATTATAAACATCCATTTACAATGATAAAAGTCAGTTGTAGGTATGACTTGGTACTTTTCAAGCTTAGTACTAGATACCTTATTTACTTAAAATAACCATGCAGGAAATGGGGTGTTTATCCCCATGTCCAGAATAAGATTTCAAATCTGAGAGATAACCCATAAACTCCAAAGAAGTCAAGCCAAGGGCTAGACAAGTTTTCTTGTATCCCAAAGTCCTTTGTTTCCCACCAAAGACCATTTAGACTGTCATTTTAAATGCAGTGTGAGGAACCAGTAACATCTATGTCACCTGGAAGCTTATTACAAATTCAGATGCTTAACCCCCACTCCATACCCTCTAGGGGTTGTCAACTACATGTTATCAGGATCTCAAGGGACTTGCATGAAATCTACAACATCCAAACAAAATACAACTCTCTCTATAGACTGAAGAAAGCAGGTGCTTCATCTGTCCTGCTAAACACTAAGGCAATAACCATAAATACCTTTTGAACTAAGTTAAAAACATAAGAAGAAAAGAGCTAACTTGGACCTCTATGGAAGAAGAGTTGCTAGGTAAACACTGGATCTCCAGAATATAATCTTAAGATTCCAAGTGGGCATCCCTTTCTCTTAGCTTCTCTCAATCCCCTTACATCATAGACATGTGATCTTTTGTCCCCACAAATTCACTGAATGAGGAAGAAGCATTAACCTCCCCAACTATAAATGTATCGACTCAAGGGAAGAGTGGTAGAAGGGAATTCTTAGCAATCAAAAAGCAGTGCTCAGACACTTATAAAACTGTCAGGATCTGTGGCTTGGGGCAGAATTTGTGGTCCAGAATGCTTGGGGTCCTAAGAGCTCTGTCCATTCTTGACATTGGGATCTAGCTGAGATTTCTTTGAGGTTCATAAGCATGGCTCTCACTTCTGAATCACAGGTTGGTTGTGAATTCATCCTGAGCCTCTTGGATCACAGCCTATTTTCCTTATGTTCTATCAAATCCTCAGCTTTTCTTTCCGTTCTGCACAAGGCAGTTATTTAAGTGGTTATTAATAAGCCAGGATATTTGGTCATGAAAGTGAATCATGTGAACAGTACAGGTCCTCTCCCAAAACAAGGTTCTGGGCAAGCCTCATTTAAGGAGGTGCTTTTGCCTTGGTCCTATCATTTAATCTAACGGGGCTTTACTGGTTGTTTTTGTCACCTGGTAACTGTAGTGTGAAGTATAATAGTGGGGCTTCTAACCAGTATTTCTTTGTGTCCTACAGGGACCTCGCAAGCTGTGTGTTAAAGAGATGAACAGCGGCATGGCTAAAAAACAGGCCTGGCTCATAAAGAACAAAATCAAGGCTTTTTATGCTGCAGTAGCAGCAGACTGCTTCAGGGACGGTGTCCGGAGTCTCCTTCAGGTAAGGCAGGGGGTGAGCACAGAGGTTGAAGTTAGTATCCAGGTAGATGAAGTTCCTAAAACCAATGGCTAGAGTTAGGCCAGTCACAAGGACGTGTGAGAGATCAAGGCAGGTGCTCAGGGAATCTCAGGCTAGGCAAGCTGGAAATAAAGGCTGAGGTTCTATTACCATGAACTAGGAATGATCTACTGGAAATGGAAAATCAGATGCCTTTGGCCAGCATCACTGTGTCCTCATGCTCACTGAAATGCAGATGTGTTCTGGTGGTTGAGGACTTTCAGAATTCTATTAATACTTCAAATTCGTGCGTCTTGTACAGGAGGTAGCTACGGTCCAGTTGGGCACTTTTTCTCTTTTTTTTTTTCTTTTGCAAATGATGGGTGGGCAGCTGCTAGACTCCACTAATAAATGCATGTGGACCAGGGCGGAAAATCTCCGCAGCCTCGGGAATTATTTCCAGAACATTAAATAAATGTGATCATCTCCACAGTTACATGCTGGAGTCTGCGGTCTTCAATCCGTCCCCTGTTCTTTCCTTTACCCTTCCTTCTTCTACTTCTATGGTGACTACAGAAATTTGTTCTTCAGTTCTCACCTCTGTAATTTGGAGGGAAAAAATCTTTAAAACAATTCAAGAGACTCTCTGAATGTAGCATTTGTATATTTCAAAATATTTACCCAATGGCTCCAAAAATGTTAGATGACATGGAGGAAGGCAATAAACAGTTATCTGGGAGGCTAACAGACACTCAAGAAAAACTGGCTCTGAACTTGCAACATTCCAACCTCTTCACAGTGCTGACTCAGTCGATCAGCCTTTGTAGTGACAGCTTCTTTCTAGGAGTTCTATAATACTAACTGGACTGGCAAGATATACCCACTCGTGTAACAGTGGCATGGCTGTAATGGAAATAACCAACCACTTTCTCATTGAATTGGAAGCCAAGTCTATAGAAGGGAACTCATGCCTTTTAATACAAACCCAGTCAAGAAAGCACCTTTCTGTAGCTAGAAAGGTCATAGACCCCCAAAGGAGAGAGTGCTCTTCTTGTTTCACTAAATTGACATGATGTGTATATTCATAGATTCGTGCTGGTCTCAGCCTTCATCAGAGAAGCTTCTCTTTGCAATAGGTGTTACCTAATGATGAGACTCAATACTAGTTAAAGTATGAAGAATAAATTTCTATGGGGTGCTAGGCTCTAAAAGGGTTATCAATATCACCCCTTCCAAGGCACAAAGCACAACAGTACAAGAGAGGGGATAGAGAATGTAAGAGTCAGGGGCCGAGGTTGCGCTGCTACAAAAGTCTCTTCTGGATATGACGTGGGAATCACACCCATGAACTCACTGAAACTGTGGTTACCTGCACAAGACCTGTACAAAATCTGACCTGTTACCATTTCATTATGTATGGGGGAGGGGGCTCATGAGGCCCTGCCCCTTATAGAAGGACTATGGGCAATTTATAGGTGCTAGAGGAGGGAGATCATTTTCTTCAATGGTGAATCACCTATAAGTTGACCATGTCCAGTTGGTAGACTCAGATACATTCATGCTCATGCAAGTGACCACATTTTACACTCAGTGGGCTGTGACGATGCCCATTGAAACTGGTGGAGGCATGTTAGGGAGAAGAGCTTCAGCAGAGGCAAGGGGTGGAGAGGGAGAATAGTGGGATGAGAATGCCTAGATTTCAGCATAGACATGGGTACATTTGTCAACGAATTTTTAAAATAGTCATGAAAAATGAAAGCAAAGAAATATACAAATAAATGTAAAAAAAAAAATGAACCTACAGATTCACACAAAGCATACGCCAAGTGTGCAGAAGGACAGGCTCCTGTTAGAAATCCTTCATTTTGCCCATGTCCTTCTTTTCATGACTGTGTCCCCTAGAATGGCTGGTCCTGGTAATTTCTTTAGTATATTCATATCCCAGGTGACCTCTCTTCATGCTCAGCTCTCCTTATTTTTGTTTGTCAATATCCAATTAAACTTGTAGATTCGGAATAAACGCCACCTCTCCATGAAGCTGTGAGCCATCAGCTGCAGCACAAGTCTCCCTTGGTGCTTCCACAAGACTCTGTTGCATTTATTCTTGAGTTACAATTGCTTATGTATATCTTGTCTCCTCTACATTATTCTAAGCTCCTACCACCAGTGCCTCAACTATCACTTTGCAATTAATACAGGCTTGATAATATTATTGCATTAAATGTGATTGACTGGAAGCCGTATCTTGTCCTCTAAAGATGACTGAAGTTTCTGATATGAAATATTACAGCTAAGGACACAGTCATTCAAGAGCATTCTGTTTGGGAAGTGCATCTCAGTTATTTTCAGCAAACAATATGAGGACATTTTCAATGGTCCTTGTATACAGAGATCTCCAAAATGTGGATTTGTTGTTGACACCATTTTGGACATCCCAGGTGGAAATGAGATCTGAACCACTGCTATAACATGCACATTGATAGTTAAGCCAACCCTTGCTTGACTTTAAATTATTGAACCATTTTAATGAGTGTGTCAGAAGTAATGCAAATGACTGCTAATTTAGCAAGGCTACATTCCTGTCATTTGAAATCCATTTATGACTGAGATGATTTAAAGCTGATCTTCCTATTTTATGCTTGGGTACGGGCATGAAGGACATGCATTAAGATGTAATCTAATCTTCAGAATCTTCAGAACATTACTTCAGTGCTCTTTGACATCATTTGTCATTTGCAGTAGTATTTTACTGGCATGGTAAGGATGGCTGATGTGTTTATGTCCTCTGTTTAGGCCTCAGGCTTGGGGAGAATGAAGCCAAACACTCTCGTGATTGGATACAAAAAAAACTGGAGGAAAACTCCCTTGTCAGAGCTTGAGAACTATGTGGGAATCATACAGTAAGTGGTGGCTTTGGGGACCAGTCTTTGTTTATAATGTGCTAACCAGGGCAGCATACAATCTGTATGCACAAAGCTCTCTAGCATCAGATCCAGTTGCCAGAGAATGCATTCTTCTGATCCTGTACATTCTCTAACAAAGGAGGAGAAAGACCCACACCACCGATAAACACTGGGAGGGGGTGGAGTAGTGGAGGAGCTGGGGTGGGGTGATACTGGAGCCAAGAAGGGACAAATGTGTAAGGTTCTAACTTAAATGTCTATTTACTAGAGTAAAGGATATGTAGAGAGGGGAAGGGAATTTTTCTTGAAAACATTTAGAATCCAGGTTTGGCTATTTTACCAACAAACAAAGTGGAGAAAGAAATCTAAGCAAATTTCAGAACTTTGTACATCCTCAGGTTCTAGTAATTGATACAGCACCCCTGTGGTCAGCCCCCAGCCCCCACCTCAAACACCCAATTCAAAGGGTCCAAATGACTGAGCCTACTCACATCAAACTGAGGAAGCCTCTGGTTCTTACAACACATTAGCAATTGGTCTTCTTGGTAGTAAAAGTCAATGTTAACTAAGGTGGTCCAAGTTTGCACTAGTATAAAATTAAATAATTCTAGCAAAAAATTGAAGACAGGAAGAAGGTAGCTACATATCTGCCCTGCATTTCCTTTCCTGGAGTTTATTGTTGCTTCAAGTAAGATACACTGTTATTGTTGACACAGGGCTATGGTTACAACTGAATATTGTCTTACTATACTTCTTTGAATATAAAGTTTTAATTGTCTGTACCACTCTTAAGTATGGTGTCTTTTACTTAGAATCTGTCTTAGTTTTGTATGGTATTTAAGACAACAAAGCTTTATTTTACAGTTTGATGGGTTAGAACTCTAACGATTAGCTTATGATGCCCAAATCAAAGTGGACCAGACTAAATTGTTCATAAAGCGCAATGTCCTACCTTCTCTTTCTAGCTCCTAAAAGTTGCCCACTAGTAGATGTGGCTGGTGGCACTTTTTCTCCATCTCCAATCCAGCAATGGCCACATTGGACCGACTTCTCCCTTCTCTCAACCTCATTCTCATTTTCAAACACCTTTGTCACTATATCCGGCCCAGGCAGCTATTGCAAGATACTCTCTTTCCCTCAAAGCTCTTGGCCTTTTGCCTTGTGAGGAAACACAAAGGAATTACAATGCCATCAATCTGCCTATAGAAGAACATCTTTTATGTAAAACAAATTGTCTAGTCTTTCACAATCAAGTTTAAATAGAAATAAGGCTTGCTTTTGAAGAGAACAGACCTATTTTATTAAGTGAAGATAATTTATGTTTTGAATTTTGAGTGGATATTTATATTACACTGAACTTCTTCATATCATTCCCTGAAAGTTCAGATCTAATTCTTATTGGAAGCTTGTTGCTTATGGTGACTAAACTACAGTGATGCTGCAGAGGGTGGCCTGACCAATCACAGGCTACAGTGATGCTGCAGATGGTGGCCTGACCAATCACAGGCTACAGTGATGCTGTGGAGGGTGGCCTGACCAATCACAGGCTACAGTGATGCTGCAGCCGGTGGCCTGACTGTAGGAGCTCTGGGTCTCAGTTCTGCCAATGCATGAACACGGGAACTTTCAGAAGCAAACGTTAAATAACACAAATAAGCAATAGGCTTGCTTTCAGATTTACAACATGTACTACAGGAGATGAGGTAAACCAAACAGCTTCCCCTTCTCTTCTACATCCTTAAATCTCTTTAGGCTGGTGCAGAGAAGGCATCAGAGACATCTGCAAGTATCTAGGATTTCACAGGGAGGCGGGGCTCTCAAGGGCCTGTGCGGAGTCCATGACAAAAGTTCCACCGAGACATTGGAAACGTGTTTGTTTGTTGACAGAGTTTCAACTACATAGGCCTGGCTGTCCTGGAAGTCACTATCAACCATAAACTCAGAAAACTGCCCCTGCCTCTGACTGCTGTACTGGAGACATTTTAGGCCATAAGCTTGGTGTCAGACATCATTGAATATGTCTTCCCAATGGCAGAGAGGGGAGTCTGATAATCAAAAGATTTTGCAATCTATAAATGTTCTATTCTAAATCTATCAGATTGTTTTGATCACTTAATATATTATTTTAAGGTATGTAGAGTTTTTTAACAAAAATATCTAGCTGGTGGGACTATTTGAACAAATTGGCTTCAGAGTGAATAACTTATTTACCTCTACCTAGAATTTATTTTTTAAAGGCACAAAGGAAGAAACAAACAAATGAAACAAAACAAAAAGACACTGGATCTTAGCTGTATTCTAAAGTGAATTTTAATAGATTCACGCTATCAAAATCCTAGAGATGAGTTTAATGTTTACTCCAAGTGTGAAGGTTAAAGAAAACACTGGACACATTCCAATGTTGTTTCCTCTTTCAGTGACGCCTTTGACTTTGAGATTGGCGTGGTCATAGTCAGAATCAGCCAAGGGTTTGACATCTCTCCAGTTCTCCAGGTACAAGGTAAATATTTTTCGTATCCACTCAACAGATGGTGAATTGTTTTAGGTGATTGGATCAGAACAGTGCTCAGTGTAAATAAAATGATTATGCCTTAGCCCATGGTGTGTGCAGTCCCTCTGTGCTTCCTCATGGCTAACACTCGTGGCCTTTGCCTTGGTAATCAGAGATGTAGACTAATTCAGGGTAATTAATGATTTTTCTTATTTCAATACCACAAAGACAGCATGAAGGTAAATAAACACCTTCGGTAAGTAGCCTGCCAAGTTAATTTTTGCAAGATGTTTCACAAAATGAAGTTGTTTTTGATTTTCCCCATGGCAAAGCATGTATTTGCTTTTAGGTGAGCAAGAACTGGTTTGTAGCTAACAATAAATGAATGAAATGAATCTGAATCTGTCATGCCTGTGAATCATTTATCTTTCTGCACAGGCAGAAAGATTCATTCTGACCAGCAACTGTTTCTTCTCTATAGATAATTTGGTAGAGTTGTTTAGTCTTAGAATTTAAACATATCCTCTTGTGTATGAGGTAAGGAAAGCATATAAGAGGAATTTCTGAAAGATTAGGAGAGAACACGAGTACACCTCTTCAACTGAACTTCTTAATGGAATCTTCTAATGACGCTAAGAAGAGGGGATATTTCGGGTTGCCTGTTGTATAACACACAGAATTCAGGTGAGGATGTTGGTAATAATAATAATAATAATAATATGTTAATAATAATAAATAACAATCCTGGTCTCTACACTTAAGAAGCTGGCACTGTAGTGGGGAAATGGATATTACTGTGATTGTTACGAATGAATGAGGAATTGTGGGAAAGAAGGGCATCTAATCCCAAAGAGGCTTCCTGGAAGAAATATGAAGTTTAGTGGATGAATCTGAGTTAGGTAAGCAATGTTGAGGGACAGAAGATTAGTAAGACTTGGGAACAAGCATTTCTTCTTGCCCAGAAGTGAACATGAGAAAAGGTTGAGATGAGAAACAGGAAGGGGTGGGCACATGTACAGCCCGAGCAGACTAATTTAACCAAAGGGGAAGGTATGAGGCAGAGACTGACTATCAAGGGCTTCCCAAGCTTCTTCTCCCATACTGAAAAGGGGAGATCATAGTTGGTCACCACTGAAAACCCTCAGAAGAATTTCAATGAGGGTATAATGGTCAAACATGGGTTATAAAGTTCATACTATTTCAGTCGTTTGGAGCGTGACTCAAAGAGGCCTAGAATGCAGAAAGGAATCGCATTTTCTCTCATATGTGAAATCTAGATTTAAATATGTATACATATGCATGCATGTATATGAAAAGCAGAAATGGGTAGATTTGGAGGTAGAAGGGGACCAATAACAAAGGGCAGAACAGATAGTAGAGGGTAGTCACGGGGGACAAATATGAGCAAGATACAATGATATATATGTATGAAAATGTCAAAAAAACCCCACAAAATAGTAAGCTAAGAAATTAGTTTTTTTTAAATTATAAGAGAGGAGATACACACACACACACACACACATATTGATTGCTAGGAGTAACAGTTAACGTTTCTGAATCATTTTAAAATATCTCTCCAAGGGAAAAGTCTATGAAGATGTATCCTTTTTTTTTAAAAAAAAGATTTCTATAATAATGGAAGCAAGGAGAGGTAACAGCCCAAACCTGGTAAGTGTCTTCAGGGATAAAGAGAAAACACAAAATGAAGAGCCATTTTTGGAGGCATAAAGAGCAGCATTGGAGGTTGATGGAATGTACAGGACATGGGACAGGGAGCTGTGAATTTAAAACTGCCTTGGTTAAATGCTGGGGTAGCAAAGGAGATGGGAAGAGGCAGAAAAGGTTTAAACAAGAGGGACATCTGTCTCAACTCAAAGTCGGTGGGAATCCTGCTGGGTCTTCATTAGATAAACAATACTCCTACCTATGTCTGAGATCCTGATTTAGATGTTGTTGGCTAAACTGTACCCCACTGATATACCAGTACCTCAGGATGGAAGTGTCTGCAGAGATTGTCTTTAACAACATAATTAAGATAAAATAGGGTCACACCGATAGGCCACAGTTCTGCTCTTCTAGTGCCCTTACAGAAAGAGGTTAGGACTCAGAGCTGGGCACTGCCACCCTCAAGCCATGGCAAGTGGCCTAAGGATAATTATCTCAGTTAACACCTCGATACTGGAATTCTCACTTCCTGAACTGTGAGAAACAAATTTTCATTTCATCTCTTTAATGCATGGTGGTTCCATGACTGTCCCTAGGAAATGAAGGCAAAAAAATCATCGTAGGTAAGGTAGAAATGGAAACCACAACAATGCAAATTTAGCCCAAAAGAGAAGCTAGGAGGGAGCCAGGAAGGTAAAACGATGAAGTGATTGGGTTCAAGAGAGCCATGGGAATAATCAGTATCACCAGAGACAGCAGTTAAGCCCAGCTACAGTGTATGAAATATATTGGACATGACATATATAATTGTAGTCAAAGAGATTTCTCTAGAATTACAGTGTTGAAATCCTTATTCAGATCTTGCTTAAGCAGCCATATTGTTGAGGTGTCATTGGAAAAACTTCCCTGTCATGTCTAGGAGACACACTCTCCTGCAGCAGATCTCCTGCTCCTCTGGCTCTTCAGTCAGTCATTATGCTGCCGCTTCCACGATGTCTCCTGAGCCTTAGATACAGGAGCTGTGTTGGAGATGTAGCAGTTGGGGCTGGGCCACCCATAGTCAGTTCTTCTCAGGTGTGGTTTCTGTAATTCTCCCCACCTACTGGAAAGAGAAGTCTCTTGGATGAGGACTGAAGACTTAAGGACATGAGTATAAGCCCTTAGAATTCAGTTAAGAAATATGCTGCTTTAGTAAAGTGGCAGTAGTATGTCCCCCTCCAAGATCCATGACTTCACTATCCCTGGGTAGTTGGCTAGGTCTCCAGTACCAGGCATGATCTCTCTCTTGTTGAGTGGGCCGTAAGTCCAAATAGAGAGCTGTTGGTTACTGCCAAGACATAAGTGCCACTATTGCATCTTACCATGCTGGTCATTGTTGTAGTTCATGGGCATCAGAGCTGGGTAAGGCTATTGACTGCTTCCATAGAACCTTCTGGTACTATAAAAACTAGTCCTCAGGGAGAAGGCTTTCTGGTTGGATCCCCCTTGTTCTATTTACTTTGATTTTTTTTTTCTGGCTTTGCTGATGCTATGTTTTCTATCTAAAAAAATGAGAACGACAAACACAACTTGTATTTAGATGATGCATTCACTCTGTGTATTATGTTAGTCTCTTCAAGCTGATATATGCGATGGAGCTGAAAATACCACCTCTACTGCTCCAGGCACCAGAATGTACCATCAGTTTATTTCTCTGAAGCTACTACTAGAATATGTAGCATTTCTCAAAGAAGCCTGAACCATAGCTTTTTTAAATTTCCCAAAGAATAGGTAGTGTTTAGATCAACTTTGATGTTTGAATTCTTTTCTGCTGCTTAACCAAGAAAGGGAAATTACAGTTAGATGCTAGTAAAATAATTATAAGGACCAACTGTCTAGGTGAACAAAAATGCAGTGTCACACGCATACACAGAGAGCATGTGAGACAAAAACAAACAAACATGACGGCAGACATTAGCTTGATGCCACCACAGCATGCTTTGTTATGAAGCTTCAGTAATCTCTGGCACAAGCCTCAGCGTAGATTTTGGATTAGAAGAAACAGACTTGTAGTTCATTATATTACACTGTAATATAGGGCTTAATAAGAGCCTGATAAATCTTCAGTATTGCCTTACAGTATGTTAATGATTATCATCGTAGCATTCCCAACATGGCACCGCAGTGTCATCACAGATTATAATTTAAGGGAAACATTAGCAATTCAGAGCCCATATACTACAGTTAATAAAACAGTGAGTACAAATCAGCTTTCTAGGTAATTTACCAGCTAATGGCAGTCATTTCTATACTGTGTCACAGACTCACACGACAATAACTTTTTGTATAAATAAGATCGATGCTCATAACATTATAACTTGTTCACTGCGGCAAGTCACCCGGTACTGATGACTAATGCTTCTTCTTAATAAATTAATTTATTGCCTGACAACACACCAAAAAAAAATGTGGCATTTCATATTTTTCACATCCCAGAGGTATTTAGCAAGTTTGCCAATTACAACAAAGAATCCAGATTGCATTGGTAGTAAACACGGTGATAGAGTGTGAGTCGCAATTGAGTACCCTGTGTAAGTACCACGCGATTTATGACCTGCTCAGAGCACGGTGATACGGCTGGGTCTGATTGAGTGTCTTTGAAAAATAAAGACAGATGGCCAAGCAGTAAATAATTGCTTGATTGGAAGGCAAGGACTGCTGCCTTCAATCCAGCCTGACTCCACCCGGGGTTCAGCAACTGATCCATGTAAACATGTGTGGCTTCAAGTTGATTGACCAAAGAAAGAGTTACAATTTAATAATGAAGGAAAAGGAGGTTGTAAGATGGGCAGGGATACGTCTGCCCTCTGGCTTTCTCTGCTCCTCTTTCCGCTGTCCTTAAGAGTCAAAGCAGATGGTGAATTGTAAACCCCTAAATGACATCTTTTTAAACAATGACTCAGTGGGACGTATGAGGAAGTTTTGACAACTAAATCCAATTTCGAAATAGAGTCTCTCCAGTCAGTTACCGTGCGGCTGGTTTACGGAGCACGTGGGAACACAGTGGTCGATAATCAAAGCAATTTGGGTATCTGGTCTCACTAGAGTTGTTTTGGGGTGTGCAGGAAGAAGGTTATTCAAAACCTGCTCTCAACTGACAACCTAAAGGTCATTGACTCCCTCCTCTACAGCCTTGGGATTCTCTCTCAAAATCTATAAAGGCGAAGGGCAGGCAGCTACCATGATTGAGTGACTAAAGAAGAGTAAAAAGCAGCAGTTCTTTTATTTTGTTTTTGTTTGTTTGTTTTTCGAGACAGGGTTTCTCTGTATAGCCCTGGCTGTCCTGGAACTCACTCTGTAGACCAGGCTGGCCTCAAACTCAGAAATCTGCCTGCCTCTGCCTCCCAAGGGCTGGGAGTAAAGGCGTGCGCCACCACTGCCCAGCTTTTGTTTTGTTTTGCTTTTTATTTTGCTTTTTGTTTTGTTTAAGTGCAGCAGTTCTTAACCTATAGGCCTTGACCCTGTGGGGGTCAAATGACCTTTTTCACAGGGGTCCTCTAAGAACACCAGAAAACAGAGATATTTGCATTATGATTCATAGCAGTAGCAAAATTACAATTATGAAGTAGCAATGAAGATATTTCATGGTTGGGGGTCAATACAAAAATGAGGAACTGTATGTATTAAAGGGTCTCGGCATCAGGAAGGTTTGATCCCCTTCTGAGGGGATTAAACAATAGGCTATGGTGGCACAGTCCTGTAATCCCAGCACTAACAACGCTGAAGTAACAAGATTAGGAGTTGAATGAGAGCCAGCCTAGGCTATGAAGTGAGCTTGAGGCTAGCTGAGGCTACAAAAGACTCAAGGACAGTGAGTGGTGGCAGAATCTAATGATAGAATTGGACATCGAAGACATGGACTGTCTATGCCCAAGTTTCCTTTATAATGAAATGCAAACTAAAACCAGCTCTCCCTACACACCAGCATCTGCAGCGAAAGCTTCCTAAATATTGTAATTCCTAAGTATTCAAAGTGTAGTTGTAGCTGAGCATAGGGGCACAGGTCTGCAATCCCAGCCCTTGGGGTGAGGAGGCAGAGGTTGAAGACAGCCTCGGCTATGTGAAGACTTCTAGGCTACAAGAGAAAACCCTGTCTCAAAAAGCGAAAAACAACAACAAAAAGACAGTAGTGATGGTGGTGTTGGTGGCTATGGCTGAGGAATGAGAAATCTTTAATGTCACTCCCCTGGCTCCACTAAGTCACCTCCTCCTTTGTGACTAATGGTTATTTTTGCAACACAACTGGCCAGTATCTCTCTTAAATGTTTCAGCAAAGTCTGCTGTTCTTCCTGCCCCTCATTTCCAGTGCAAACAGAGGTGTGCAGTAGATCAGATACAATTTAAAAACCAGACCATCAAAGACCACTTCTGTTTCACACTGTAATGTGGGGAGTTGCCTGGGACAGGGGTCTTCTATCTCCCACAAAGTAAATAATGAAGAATCATCTCTGACAAAAACTTGAAAGCTCATTGTACAGTGGAGATGGCTCTACTTTGGCTAGACAAGATGGTTTTAGCCTTCAGAATAGGTGTTGCTAGCCTGTCTGCTCTACAAGGGAACTAATGAATTTAAATCGTAGAAGCAGACTTTGGGCTGTCTCCTGGGCCTGGGGTTCTGCAGTTTGCTTGTCCTGGAACAAACCTCCAGAGTAACTCAGATCGCAAACTCCATTACAAAAGAGGGTGTAAACCATCTTTACCCAAGAAGAGCACTAGTTGGAGTGCACAGTTAGTAGCTAAAGACAGGGTGTGCCTGTCAAAGAAAGAAAAGGGAGTAGCCCCTCCTCTGTGCTGCTTATAGCTGCCTCCAGGAAATTAACAGCTGAACTCCTGGAAAAGAATGTCCCCGCTGGAGCTCTGAGAGGCCTCCCTAAGATGACATGTTCCAGAACCATCACTGGGGGTGTGGCTTGGCATCCTGTGCCTGCCAATGTTTTAGTTTGTCTGATGAAGAGGCTGGCAGTTAATAGAAACAACTGTTAAGTAATCTTAACAAGCTACAAGAAGGGCTTCAGGCTGAGAAACACATAGACTGACCGTCAAACTAACCTCTTTGTACTCAAGTCCTGACCTTGCTCATTGATAGTCACACACATTATTTAACCTCTTTGAACTTTGGTTTCTTCGTGTACAAAGCCAAGAGAATAATTGTAGCCACTTCCAAGCTGTTTGGAAAAGAATCAACCATAGCACCCAGAGAGTGTGCAATAAGTGGTGTTAAAACAGCACCTGGCCCTCTCAAATGGTTAGTTTGCTTTGCATGAGAAGATCCATTTCCAGAAGAAACATAAAGACCCTGCCTGACGAACACATTTCTCTCTTCTTCCTGAAGCTCTAAGGCAGACTGCTGTTTATTCCTTTTATGAAGCTCAGAGGGTGGGAAAAGAAAATCGTTCTGATGTTTCAGTACACAGGAGGCCTGAGGCATAGAAAGAGTGAATGACTACAGCCACAAAGAGCCAGCTGCCGAGCCCTTCTGGGTTGTGGCCCTGCTGCAGTGTAGATCGCCCTCACCTTTTAAAGTCAGGGCAAGCATGGCTTGCCTAAACTCTAACACCATCAGCCGCATTCCCCAGCCTTCCTATGGCTGCTCATCTTGAGACCCTTTGAAGCTTTGGGGAGATCACAGGGGTGACTTGACTCTAAATCTCACGCCACTGGCAAAAGATTAATTGCTAAAACCTGGAAAGGGGCCAGGTGGTTCTGAGTAGCTGGATAACAGCAGCATCCGAAGGGTGTGATGGTTCTGACAGATTTAGTTAATGTGGAATTGCCCCTTCACAAAGAGCTAAGGCAGTGGGTTCTGAAGGCTGACATTTACAGAAGCCCTAGCAGGGTTTTGTAACAGGGAATCTACATTTTCTGCATTCTCTCTTGGAGCAGGGCTTATTTCCCACATTTTCTGCATTCTCTCTTGGAACAGGGCTTATTTCCCAAGGCTGGATTCTCAGCAGGCAATGAGATAGGAGATCTGACAGAAGTTGAGGAATATGCTTGTTAGCTCAGCACTGTTACATGACTGTAAACTCTCACTTGCTAAGGTCAAGGAGAGATTATATATTGTATTATGGTGTAAAGAGAGGGGGAGGGAGAGATAGGAGAGAGGCAGAGAAAGAGGGAGGGAGGGAGGAGGAGGAAGAGGAAGAAGAGGAAGAGGAGGAGGAGGGAAGGAGGGGGGAAGAGAAATCAACTAGGAACTTTTCAACACGATCAAAACTCAGAAAAGCTAAAAAGGCAGCCAGATACAACAGTGGTCCTGAACCTTCTGGAGGAAATTTTGCAGTTTGACTCTTGGTTTAGACTCAAGCATTGTGCATGACTTTTCAGCCACCCGATCTCTGGCATTCTCTCAGAAACCTTGGCTTTCTTTCGTCCTTTGGCTCTGGTTGCTTACACCATAAGGTTGTTTTGGTTTTTCCACTTAGGAGTCATAATCAGTGCCTGATACTTTGTTCACTGCAGTTTGTGTTCAGAGACTAGAGAAGTTGATTATAAGATCTGATTATCTTTCTGTAATTTGCTCCCCATCCCCTTTGGCCTTTTGAGATAGTCTTGAGGTAGCATGGGGCTGGCATTAAACTTGTGTAGCTAAGGAAGACCTTGAAATCCTGGACGCTGTGCCTCTACCTCCCAAGTGCTGGGATGACATGTGTGCACCAAATATGTGGTACCATTCTGTGGTTCTTGCTCTTAGTTTTATATTTCAACTCAGAGGAGTTGCTATGTGCAGATAACTGCCCAACATACATGCCCAGCATATATATGCCCAACATACATGCCCAGCATGTGTGCCCAACACACAAGCCCAGCATATGTGCCCAACACACAAGCCCAGCATATGTGCCCAACACACAAGCCCAGCATACTTCTGCAATATTATTAGTTCTGCTTTTTGAAAACCTTACCTGGTAACTTGATCCTTAAGTCAGTAATTTAGCAGTGACATCATCTCACTAGATGGGTTTTCTGGATGGTTTAAATAAGAAGTAGCCTTTTGCTGGGCATTGGTGGTGCATGCCTTGAATCCCAGCACTTGGGAGGCAGAGGCAGGCGGATTTCTGAGTTCGAGAGTTCGAGGCTAGTCTGGTCTACAGAGTGAGTTCCAGGACATCCAGGGCTACACAGAGAAACCCTATCTCGAAAAACCAAAAAAAAAAAAAGAAGTAGCCTTTCTTGCCCTCACAAACAAAAGCCCCATGACTTTATGCATGGAGCTGTTTTTCTGAACCAGCTGTTACTACTTTTTGAATACAATTTACTGAACGCATTACTTTTTAATGATCAGGACAGAAAAGTATCAAACCATGTGCATATTTGCATGCATCCTATTGTATAATTATATGAGATGCTAGATTATGTATGAGATTGTTCCTAGAAACTTTGTTCCTCTGAGGGAAGCCACTGACCGTGTCTACTCTCTTCAGATGAACTAGAGAAACTGGAACAGGAGAGATTGGCTCTGGAGGCCGCAATCAAAGACAACGAGTGTGAGGAGGGGAAGGGAGGCATCCGAGGCTTGTTTAAGAAGGCCAGCAAACTGAACATTACCAAGCCAGCCCCTAAAAAAGGTGAGCATCTTTAAATTTTAAGAGCGTGACTTCAAGATGGGCACATAGCTGAGTATCACGAAGGGACAGATGAAGCATCAGAGACACTGGGTATGAGCAGGCACCAAAATATCTCTTTCATGAAAGCAGCATCATGAAGCACTTTATACCTCCTTACTGTTAAAACATACAGCTAGAAACAACCCTGTCACTGACCAGAATGAGAGACTGGGCGTGCCACTCACAAGGATTCCTGCCTGTAGGTTTAGTTTAGTAACAAGCTGATAAGACTGGAAGACATACTGAGGACAGAGGATCAAAAATGAGAGAATTTGTTTAAGTTGTAGAAACAGGAGACTTATTTATCTATTTACTTTTGAAAATTCTCTTCTTTCCCAGTCAAGAGTAAGTTTGATTTTTAATCAGGTCCACAGTGACCTCTGCTGGTCGAAAATCAGAATGCACACAGAACACCAGAGCCTGTCACTAGTGTGAGATCACAGACTGGTTCACTGTCAGTCCAGGGGCAGTACTCAAACTGAAGCTTTGCTAGCTCCTGGATGACAGCAGCTCAAGAGACCACTTCCTGACCCATGAATAGTCCAATTCAATTGGCTTGTGCTAGTGTATGTAGCCCAAGGTTGAAATTTCACCTGTAATATAAGGACAACAGGAAATACAAACACAATTTGTATCCCACACACCATGCAAAGCTTTATTTTTCACACCAATTTTTAAAATTTATTTGTTTTTAATTTATGTGTATGTGCTTGTGTGTGTATAAGTATCAGAAGAGGACACCAGATGCCCTTAGCTGGCGTGTCAGGAGTTTACAAGCTCTCTGACATGGGTACATGGTTGCTGGGAACTGATGTCTGTCCTCTGGAAGAGCAGCACTCTTGAACACTGAGCCATCTCCCCAGCTCCTTCTCACGCATGTTAAAACATCATTTCCCTTTTCAAATAGTGGTACACACCTTTAATCCCAGCACTCCGGAGCCAAAGGCAGGAAGATCTCTGTGAGTTCGAGGCCAGCCTGGTCTACATAGTGAATTCCAGTGTATCTAGAGATACGTAGAGAGACCCTGTCTTTATACACACACACACACACACACACACACACACACACACACACACACACA